AAAAAAAAAAAAAAGAAAGGCTGTCCTCAGGCTGGCCTAGAGTGTATATAGCAATGAAGGAATTGCTGGGAATTAATGATCTTGCTTAGCTATAAAAGCAGAGTGATTTGATCACAGGAACCAGAACATTCACTCAGTACTTAACAAACATTTATTGAGCATGTGCTGTGTGCCAGACACAGTGCTAAACAAAATGCAGCTAAAAAAGTTCAGTAAGACACATTTACCCTCAGAAGGTCACAAGAAGCTAAAGCAAATCACGTAACAAAAAGGGAGAAGAAAATGGGGTGTGCATATGTGTATTTGCTGTACCAGCTAATGAAGTGTTTTTGTTTTGTTTTCTAAGGATGTAGATGCTTATTTATTACAGTTGAATTGAGAGACTTCATCTACTAAAGAGCATTTGATTATTCAAAACGTCCCCAGACTAAGATTTCAAAAACAACAAAAAAAGTCTCATCTGAGAACTGTGAATCGTGGAAGAAATCAAAACCTTTTTTTTCTTTAAAAAGCCACATATGAAACCACTAATGAAACCCTAACAATCTACTTCACATTGAAGTGGAAAAATATCCAAAAGGAGCAGCTTCAACTTCAATGAGGTGAAAGTGCACTATGAAGATTGTTCGCCTTTGCTGCATTCGGGATTTATATGGTTATTTGGTAACATTGTTTAAGAATTACTGGGTCTTAATGCAATCCTACATAAGAATATAATTTATACTATGTCAAAAAGAAGACAGGACTTACTACTAGGAATCACAAAGACCAATCATCGTGACTCTTTTGAAGATTGTGTTTTATAAGAAAACACTTAAATGTGTGCAGCTATTTTCTTATTTTGAAGACTTTGCAAGTTTAAAATGTCATAGCAAATAATCAGTACTAAAAATTTGTCCACACTGAGATACTGTGTATACAAAATGCCTTAATTATTAATAAGCCAATGTATACCAATACGTGTTTAAAAAAATTAAAACCAACCATGCTTCTGGCATGATAAAATCATGGAATTACATCAGGGGTTTCCATTCATGTAGAATGTTGTTAAAACTTATTCCATACCATTTTTAAAACTTGAGGATATTTTTCGTATCTCTGAATTTTTTTTTGCCAGAATCATTGTGTCATGTATGTATGTGTTGTTTCTACATAAAAGAAAAAGGTGAATATGTATTTGTATGAATGCTTAACTAGAAATGTCCATGGAGTTGGCTAATTTATATTCACTTTTTATTGTATATAGATTCCTAATATTTTCAGTTCTGTATCATTTAAGCTTTCTTCATTTGAGTAAATTCACTAAATATTTCTATTTTTTGCTTTTTTAATTCTGCTTTTATATCAGTTTAATTCTTTTTCACTACTTATGTTTTAAAGAATTACATACAGTGCTTTAGAAATGTTTACAGTTAGTGCTGACCTTGTGTTCTAAATTCCAACACTTTACTACCTCCTCCAATGGTTAGTATGAAATGCCAGCAGACTGTATGAGGTCTTTTTTTTTTTTAATATCATTTTTAGTGTCAATGAACCCATTTCTGGAATGTCTTAACAGCTATATATCTTATCTTGAAAGTGATTGGGATTTAAATACCACTATTGGTGGTTTGTGTATCATCTCAACTGAGTAAAGATTTTTAGTAATTGATTTTTCTGCAGTAATCCTACAAGCACTTGAATGTAAATCTTTAGCATTTATCCAGTTAGCCACTACTGATGTGAATCCCAAGCAACTTTTTTGCTTTAAAAATGTTATCTTTCACTGAGTTCTATTTTTTGTGTAGCTATATTTGATATAGCTGTGTATTCCTCACAGTGAGCATCAATTTTAATAATCGGTTCTTAAGTCTTTAGAATAATTTAAGATTACTGCATCTCTGTGATTTGAGAGTTGAGTTATATAAGAAGTTGTTTTTCAGGAGGTGGGAATTTGAATCGTAAACCTGCGTCATCTCTGTGAAACCTTAAGATGATGAAATAGAACCTTTCTTTGTTCCTATTCCTTTAGTTATCACTGTCTTATCTAACACTTTGCACCAGTTAACTCAGTTGGAGCATGGTGCTAATGAGGCTAAGGATAGGAGTTCAATTCTTTTATAGGTTCATTAACTTTACACATACACAGAACTATTCATGGCCACAGATTGCAACTTCTCGTAGGTATGTATCTCACAATTCAGCTCTTAGTCACAAGGAAGATGATGTGTATGACATAGCATAAGCCTTTCATCTCAAATGGAAAGACAGCTTAAATAATTGGTATATGTGATACTATAGACTTTAATATTTAAATTAAACATAATTAATGTAATATCTAAAATATAGTGTCACTATAATTTTCTCAGGGTAAGACCATTTCCTAAATAGTATCTTTTAAAAATCAAATTTCAATAAATTTCAGTAAAAATTAGATACAAATACAAATAAAACATAGTAACAAAAGGTAAAATCCTATTAACACTGAGTTCTTGCGCCTAAGTTTGGGTTTGTTAAAGGAAGGTATACTCAGTGCTGTCTAAGACAGCAGAATCTTTAGCTCACATATATTATTCAGTATCACACAACTCCTAATTTCTGTTCTTGGCGTTTGCGGTTTACATTAGTATCTACCTTTCTCAGTTACTGAGTTATGATTAGTATTTTTAGTACGATTTTTGGATAAAAGATGTTAAATAAGTAAATATTGTTGAACACTTTGGTTGCTGTTAAGCTCCTCTCATGCTATGTAATAAGAACAGTGTTGATTTGATCTCCAAAAAGAGCCAAAGAAAGTGTTTACAAAGTATTTTGGCTGTTGTATTGACCTAGATTAGGACAATTGCTGTCTGTCATTGCTCATTTATTATTGTGCTGCTAAGCAGTATACAGAACTGAGGGACTACCCAACGTCTCTATGCCTTTTTACCTCTTCTACCTTCTTAGGTATTCTGTACTTGACTTTGCTAACTTTGCAGGTCTAGGGACAGGAAGTTTATTGAGGTGATGGAGGGTTATAATCAAGTAATTTGCTTCTACTAGAAATAAAGTGAATGGATTTTGTAATGAGTGGTCATGATCAGAATTAGGGTTAAAAGGAAGCAAGCATTATCAGATGGTTTTTAAAATTAATCTTTTGGCAGTAATTTCAGAAGCAGTTGACACACATTATTTACTTGAATCCTGAGATGTGAGGATTTGGATATAAATCCTGTATCCACTTTGGGGAATCATTAATATCAGCACTAAACTCTGAGGGCTACTGACGAATTAAATCTTAATGCCCTTGAACATTTTTGATACATGTTATGTCCTAATCTTAAAAATGGTCATGTAGATTCAGAGCTACATTTCTGGCCTTTGAAATAGGCCAACTCAGAACATTTCTGTATTTGGCAAGTTGATATAATTAACATTAATGGATGATTTGAGAAATTATTATTAGCTATTAAATGTTGATAATAGGAATAATATTTAAATAGTTAAATTACTTAATCAAGGGGCTTGAAAAAGCAAAATTTAAGTTAATATTTTAGCAGTCATTCCCAGTTATCTTTCTTCCTATTTAAGAGCAAGATGGTAATGTCAGTTGCCTTTGTTGATTTAAAGGAGAAAAAAAAAAAATCATAAACAACTGATTTAACTGGAGTGATCCATTTGGATACACTACTTATCTTTCAATACGAACTTTTATTTTCTGGATTACTTCAAATGGAAATAATATTGCTGGACATTTGTTGGTAGGTATTTATTTACTCCTATTCATTCTCCCTTAATTTCTAATTCTAACTATGAAAATTGTCATAAAACTTTGTGACCAACTATTCCTGCTCCTTTTTTATTCTGTAACAAGAATATAGAATAAAAAATTCATCCCTAAACACTGTATGCTCCTAATTTGTAAGATAGCTTGATTGATTCAGTGACAGCATTAAGTGTAACAATAAAAACAAATACTGCATATTATATACCCAGTAAAACAAGGATCTTTTCCAATGCTGTACTTAAAATAATATTTAAAATATTGTAGTCAGTGTAATGTTCTCTGGGTCAGATCATTGACTTAACAGCATCTGCTAAAATCAAACGTCAGTAGAAATTAAGTACAAATAAAACATAGTATATACCCCAGTATTTTCTCGTATAGACTGTAATCATAAAACACAAAAAGACAGTGACTGTGTACCAGTTCTGTGAAAGGGCAGCCCCAGAGCTACCAATATTTTTCATAGCAAAGCTTGTTATATATTATTGCTTTGATAAACAGAATTATTATTATCTGAGCTACAAAGTTTTCAGATAAGAGATGTCAAGAGTCTAGATGAGGATTCAGCCCCCAAATACACATGAAGTAGTATTGATTTTTTTTTTTTTAAAGATTTTATTTATTTGACAGGGAGAGACACAGCGAGAGAGGGAACACAAGCAGGGGGAGTGGGAGAGGGAGAAGCAGGCTGCCCGCGGAGCAGGGAGCCCGATGTGGAGCTCGATCCCAGGACCCTGAGATCATGACCTGAGCCGAAGGCAGACGCTTAATGACTGAGCCACCCAGGCACCCCTCTTTTTTTTTTTTTTACATGTACACCATTTACTACACAAGGTATACCTCAAAAAAGTAATAATAAAAGTCAAAAGAAAAAATTTAAAAGTATTGTTTATAATATATCACCCACCTTAAATAAAATATCATAGATACAATTGAAACCCTGTATGTACCTTACCATGTCCCATTATTTCCCTCCTCCAAGGTGACACAGCCTTTGTCATGCCCCTATGGGTTTTACAATTTTTATGTAAATAGGGTCACACTACACATCCCTGTGCTCGCTTCGGCAGCACATACACATTACACATCCTTCTGTAACTTGCTGATTTTGCTTAAAATTATATTTCTTTTAAGATTCATGTCTGTCAGTACACATGGCTCTAGTTCATTTGCTTCCAGAATGATATTCTATTGTGGAAATACACCCTCGTGTATTTGTCCATTTTGTTGGTGATGGACATCTAAGTATTTGAATGAGTATTGATTCTTATCCTTTACAGTATTATGTATTTTCATTCAGATTTAAACCAGGATTTTTTTTTTAATGTCCCGGACCTGGCCAAGACTGTTGTGACACTATGAATTTACACCAGAGCTGAGAAGAGTTGATCCAAGTATTTTCTAGGGTAAGAAAGAGTTGTCGTGGGAGTCCTGGAATACACTGAATTATTAGAATTATTTGCTTCTAAAATTAACTATGTTGCATTTATCAACCAAACCTGCAACATGGAGCCTGGATTAGAATTAGACCTCACCTTCCAGAAGTCAGGAAGAGAGTTTTAGCATTCATTTACTTTTCTACTTTGATTTTTTTTTCTTTTTAAAGATTTTATTTATTTATTTGAGAGAGAGCACATGAGAGGGGGGAGGGTCAGAGGGAGAAGCAGACTCCCTGCCGAGCAGGGAGCCC